ACCTTTGGTAAATAAAATAGTCGGAACGGATGGCTCTGTCCCAGCGATTCCCGGAAATTTCGAAAGGATTTTATACGCGCACTTTTTTCGAAAGCTTTCCTCCATCAAGTTTGAAGGTTCACGTCATTTTCAAAGCTTTAACGCGCGCCGATTCAGTCGAGTGTGAATAATTTCCCGCTCGAAACATGGACACGATGGACATTTTATCCCGGACGTTTCCAGTGAAAGTTAAGGAACGTCTAGAAAACGAATTGTATTATTCTTCGTTCTTCCTTAAGTTAGTGATTCAGTAATTTATTCAATAATTACATATCCTATACTCTACATTCCGAAATAAGATATGGAGTATCGAAAAATTGTTACATTGCACCTGAACAGAAATTCAATCTCCCTATCCACAATATTTAACTATCTCCTCACGAATTCATCCCTTAATTCCAACCGAATTTTATACGTCCCATAGTAAAAGAACATTGAATTAATCAATTTAATAATAATAATAATAATAATAATCCCTGGCAGGGCTCGTGTTACACGATATCCGTGAAACGATCAAATCGTTTGCAGCAGGCTCGAAAATATCCACGAGCGTTCGCGTAGCCGTGCGAGCTCCGGCAGTTTCAATATTATCAATTATTGCCAACGTTATCAATTACATTCCTTTCCAGCGTGCTGACAACACCGTGGCGAGCGGCAGCCACGTTGTGCCTCGCGTTCCCGGAAATAAGAGACGTAAACAGTTTGCGGGAAGAGGTCGAGGGCAAATGCGGCGTGCCCCGGATCGTGAACGCGCAAGGGAATATTGAGTCGTTCGTTTCCACGGCCTGTGAATCATCTAGACGAAGATAATAGCTCACCGACCGCGAATAACAATTTATCTGGACCGCCGTTCTTTCGGGATCACGAAATTGGCAGCGGCATCCCGGGTCGGGCCGGCCGGCCCAGCAATTACTTCGCTCCCCGATACTCCGAGAAGTTTCTAACGGTCGTTTGTCAAGATTCGGTTCGAATATGTCGCCGGGAAATATACTGCTTCGTTAATTAACCAGCTAACCGTGGAATTCCGTTTTAACACTGTTTCTACCGAAGGTATCGAGAGACACTTTTCGAAATTTCTGCTTGTAATTGTCTTTTCGGTTTAGTCACCTTTCCTCGATTGAATTTTGGAGATTTCGTTATTGGAACAGTCGGAAAGTTGATTTAGAATGTACGACTGATTGGAGAGTAATTTTATGTTAAATTTCAAAAGATGTCTTTTGACAGCTTTGGTGGGAATAGTGTTAATCCTTCGCACTCGAAGGTTGGTTATCGTTTGTATTACTTGCAACTCGAAGGAACTTTGATTGATTAGAAGAGCATTTTTATTGTTTAGAATTTTTTGAGCATTTTTATTCATTAGAATGATGCGTTTTTAAGGTAGAGTATTCGAGTGCAGAAGGCTGGAAGTTTGCAGTGAGATGTGTAACGGAATTATTTAATGACGAGCGTACACGTCGAGTGTAGGGCAATGCAGATATATTTTGTTTTACAAAATTAAAGTCGAATTTTGAATTTACTTGGATTCTGAATTTATGGAGTTAATGAAATATATTTTCAGCTTTGGGATTCAAGTTGTAAACGGGAATGTAACAGTTTTACGGTTTTTAATTACGAAGGGAATATTACTTGATGTGTTATTGCTGCATTTATTTACAGTCGCTGCTTTTTTATTAGGTACTGAAAGGCAACCGTTTGTACCCTTTCATAAACTAACAAACCAATCCGCTCGGCTTTGCCGGCCCTCGGGAAAGGATAAATCAACAGACAAAATTATAAAACAGCTGCAATGCAGCTCATTATGAAACCTGTAATTTATCAAAATACTGCAATGGAAAATGCTCTTTAAATCCCGCACTCATCAAACTCCCAACATACACATCCTCTCTCAACCCATTGAAAATAGAATTCAACCTTATAAATTTCTCCAGTATCTACCATCATCATCTACTCCATCACTAATTCTTAAACACACTACTCAATCCCATTCCAAACCCACACTCAAACCTCAACGCTACCAGAAAATCTGCATCAAACATAAACATTCAAAAACTCATATCCATCAACATTCATTCTCTTCTCAAAATCCCGACATCCACACAAAAGTGCGATCCAAAAAATACAGTACAATCCGAAAAGTCCATAAACTATACCAGAACATACCAGAAACCTACCTAAAGTCGGTCAGAATAATTCCGAAAAGTTGCGAAGCCGAGCCGGTTTCACCTGTCGGAGGCCTTCACTGGTTCACCATGTATCGCGGAGCGCGTGTACTCGGAGGAACGGGCCGCGAGCGAACGGCGACAGCGGCCGGCACATTAGAAACAATCACAGAACATCCACGGAGGAACACGTCACCACAAGACTCTTGCGTTCGGGACAGGGACGTCGCCGAGGGACGCTCCGGCGCGTTCGTGCTCGACGGCGGCCGGTGGCGGACTACCCTTCGTAACGCGCGCGCCCACCGTCTGAAGCGCGACGCCGGCTACGTAGACCCGTAGTGGATGTATGTGGGTGCGCGATGGGAAGGAGGGACCGGCGACGGCGGCGGCGGCGGAGGCGGAGGCGGCTATCTTTTTGTCGCGGGCTTTCTTCGAGGTAAACGCGCGTGAAATCGTGATCGCGTATGGTTCATTGGGCCGGGGGTGCTCGTGGCTCGTTAGCGGCGCCGGGATCGATCATATATCGCGATTAACATGCTCGCGGTTCTTCACTGTTGGCTGCATGCTAGGCGAGCATGGAGATTTTGAACGGGGATGATGATTTAAGCATTTGCTGACGAAGATTCGTTGAAATGTACGAAACCTTCGACAGATGAAGTTCAATTATATATTGCTTAACACTAGAACTACCGTACCAAAATGACTAGTTTCGACTTTTTGTTAAGCAATTATTGATACCTTCGAAGCATTGAATATTCGAAATGATTTTGAATAGTTTCATTTCCGTACTATAATGAAAGTTTGAAGAAACTGAAAATAATCCAATGTTACAGTTTTTATAGGAATTGCATGTTAATCGTATTAAATGCTCGGTTCTAGTGTTAATTAATAGGAAAACAGGGAACTACGTGATGATCTCTTGTTGTTTCACTAATTAAATCATTTCTTCGCGACTTATGGAATTAGAGATGTTGATCGTGAATTTATGCATTACATTTCTGTGCTTGAGCGAGAGGCTTGTAACGTTTGAGTGATTGAGAGATATTTGATAGTTTTTGGAATGAAGACAGGCATTTTAATCGTGTCTAGATGTCAAGTTGTTAATACAGTTCACTAAACATTCGTGTAACAATTACCCGATTAATTGACAGATCCGAAATAACACTGCAGTTAAGAAATATCAAACAAATCTGAATGCCGATACTCTTCTCTTCAAGATCCCCGCGTATTAAAACCGCGGACGCTAATTAAAAGTCGCGTGGAAGCAATTACAATCGCAAAGGCGTGATCCCCGCGTAACAAAAAGTTTAATAAACTCCGACGAGATTTTTGTATCGTCTGAAACGTCACAGAACCCCGGACAGGGGCAAGGAATTTTAATTCGGTGTCTGTTGGTGCAAATTAGTACGCAGAAGCTGTTTAATAAAACCACGTCGCCGGAACTTACATTTCTCATCTGCGTCTAACGAGTTTCATCCGGCGCGGCGCGGCGGTTCCCGAAATGCGAAATTTAATACGTGTGTAATTAAACTTTTACCACGCGGAAACGTAGCGGCGCGTATCGCGCGAGCCGAAGAAGTACCGCGATGTAGCAGCGCTGATAACGTTACAGAAATTTCTCTTGAGCCCGTAGAACAGACCGCTGCAAGTTTAATACCGGCACACGTGCAATAACTATTACGATGATCATAATAGCGTCTGGGAACCGTTCGCACATAGTTCAACCGACCGACTCCGGCATTCCTCCTGCGCGAAATTAACTACAGTTGGATTGTCCCCGCAGCTAATAATTTCCGGTATACTTTGTGACGTATCGCGAGCCTCGCTTTGTGATGCGATATTCTTGGCCGACGTCGTTGCGCGGAATCTCGTTATTACGTTGTTGCTCGACGTTAGGAATTATTAATTACTGACCCGCTACCAATTAAACCATAACGCGGTGCCGGATTCCGAACGCCGCGTTTGTCGCGAACGACGGACACAGGAACACTTGATCATTTGAAATTGTTAGGTTCATATGTAATCGAATTACAAGTCCAATATAACAAACACTCGCGCAGTACGATCATTTTTTAACCCGTTGTCGTACAATGACGAGACCCGTGATGAAGATTTCTAGACTAACTTAACAATCGATGTTATTCATTACCCACGGATCACAGCAAACTATTTTGCTATTATCATTGTATTATCTTCAAATAAACTTTCCACTTGAAGTAGAATGGACAATTCTGTTGCATTTCTTCCAAATTGTCGATAGTAAAATGGTACATGAGTATAGTGGCGAAAGTAAATAGTACGCAAAGGGGTTAATGGAATTATCAAATGATTATTTATCGCGTGAACGTTTGTACAGTTCTCTTCGAGGAATTCTAACGAACGCGATCGAGAAAGGGAACAGCTTCTGTCGCGAGGCCCGAAAGCATTTCATAGCAGTGTACTAAATGCGAGTTCGCAATGCGCGCACATGAACAACCTCGCCCGGAAACGTTGTATATAATTGTGTTATAATAGCTATCGCAGGCGTCGGCTCGTTAAATTGTTAATACGTAGAGCCGCGCGGGCCTCGCGGAAATTTCACCGATTAATACTGTACCATCGTACCGGAATTACCCGCGACGTGACACTTTCATTTTCATGAGTGCCGGAAACGACGTCGAACAACTTGGAACTATGGCGGCGGCAAGCATCTCACGAATTAATCAGTTACGCCGACGCGATCGATGCTTCGCTTTGCATTCGGATGAACGATGACGCTTCGCGCGGCGAGCATCGCGTCAAATATTTCGGGATACGCGTTGTTTGAAATATTCTTATTATTGTTTATCGGGAGAAAGGGACAGGCGAATTCTATTTTTACAAATGTCGAACGAACGGAAGCTACGTCGATGTTTTCCTGTTCTCTCGATGCTGTTTCGAAATTCATCGTGCATATGTTAATAAAAAGCTGTATTTTCTAGAGGTTTCTTTCTAGAAAGAAAAAGATTGGTTTCTTTCTAGAGGTAACGGGAAATGGGTAAAAAATCTTGTGAAAAGGATACGCGGGGAAATTGTAATTTTTAGTATGTTGAATGGAACAAAGCGGAGTAAGCAAAGTTTATTAACGTCTTCCCCGCGCGAGAATTATGTTGCGCCGAGCGCATTAATCATGGAACCAACGGGCAGAATATTTACCGCATAATCATTTGATTAACCACGTTTACCTGTGCATTGACGTTTCTAATGTAGACTCTACTGATCAAATTGCATATACGGTACAATGTTGCGACCTCGTGGGAACTATGATTAAAGGGGAATACATTTAAACAATTGAAATGTGTATTGAACAAAAAACTTTGGAGAATATTCGTCCACGATTATTTCATTAAACTCGGTATGAAATTGTCATTTACTCAACTGCTTCATTAATTTCAAGTAATAAACGAGTCTAAAGCAAACAGGATACACCGTGTGGCCAATTCAATTTCATCAACCTGTTGAATACTTTTTATTACCGACTATTATTAAAAATTTGTATCACTTTAGTCACGTTTTATCTCTTCGTAATTTTATGGGAATTTCTACAAGTTCAGACGAATTCAGGATTATCTAGATTAATAACAGCTGTTAAATAAAGATGTTGTCCTGTCAGAGGAAATTAATTACAGTCACGAAAATTGTAGATCATTATTTGATTACTACATCTTTGTAATGATCATTGGACCAAACGAAATGGCGAAGATAATAGTAATAAGTTCCCAGCCGCGGTCAATATCATCGCAATTGCTCGACCGTCAGACGCAAACATCTAATGATAATTAATTACCGAGAAACGCTGAGAATAATTAATCGTCAGGAAATAATTAATCGTTCGGGACGATAAAATAAACATGATCGAGCAGTGATTTATAATCCGCGGAGGGCAGACGCGGGAAAATCCGCGATAAAAGCATGACAAAAACGATTCGCTTCTACCCGCATTTATGAACTGCTCGGATTTACTTCTTACCGGAGAATAAACTCCCAACGGCAACTTGCTTTCGGTCCCTTGTAATTAATTAATGAAACTTAATTTCGTAAATAATCTCAGCTGAACGAAACTCCGGACTGTCTGTGATAACTTCGAAAGTGATTAGTATAAAAGTTCCAACAAACTGTCGTTGCGCGGAATTTAAATTCTTCTATAATTGGTTTCAGCCAATAAAGCTATAATAACACAGAACTCCTCTTTATGAGAACTAGTATTCCCCGCAGCCTTTCAAGGTATAAATTAAAACTAAACGAGTCAAACTTCAGAGTCAAATTTTCAGTTCGTTCCATAACTTTATCTTCAAACACTCTTGCCCACAGTATACATAAAACGAAAGAAATTCAATCTAATCCAAACGTTTGAATCGAAACACAAAATTTCCACTATCATTGAAAAAATTCACAACATCCACATAATGTAAACAAAAATATGACCACCATACGTTTAGCTCTATACCTGACAACTTTTATCTGCAATTTTTCTATCACTTTTCCTAAATTATCGAGTTCCGTCTAGAAAACGTTCGTTTGGCCGTACTGTATGTTGTTTCCGTTCTCCTGGATCCCTGTAGATCGAAACTAGGAGCAGTCCAGGGATCAGAATCACGCGGCGAGTTTCTCACAAAATTGCTGGAGGCTGAAGACGCGGAAAGCGTCGGGGAGCGTTGAACCAGTCTGTCCGCGAGGGAAAGAGCTTTTCAGGGGGTGGACCTAGCCCGGGGTCATACGCTGCGGACTGAGGTCGAGGGCCACGACAGATACGGATGTACCGTTGTGCAGGTGAAGATATACGCGTCAGAGACATCCACCGCGGGATCGAGGAAACCGCTAAACTCTATGGCTGATAACAGATCGCTTCTGCCGCGTCTCTTGTTCGGCCCACTGGCTAAATTCACCGCGGCGTTGCGGGCAGCCGGGCAACAGACAAATATCACCTCTCCATTCTGCTAATTTCATTATTTCCCTTTTTTTCCAACTCATATTTCATTGTATAAAGGAACCGTAAAATGTCTGGGAACGATTATTCTTCGTTTATTGTGTACATCTAGTTGTATGATTATTTTATTTTGATTTTCAATGGATATTCAGGCGTGAGTAAATCATCCCTGGGAGAGTATTTGATTGAATGGAAGAAAAAATTAGGTTATGGTGTAGATAGCTGTTTGTAAAGAAATGGAACAGGTTATTTGTATGTGAGATGACAAGAAAGATAGAAAGGGGTATTGAATTTTTGGTGTATAGAAGATAAGTGGAAAGGGTGAGTTATGATCAGACGAACG